AATTGAGTCTCTTAAACTATCTATCCTGGTGACAGATGGGTTTGGATCAATTATGCTCTGATTCTGAGAAAAGGGAGTATGAATACTGAAATATCAAATAAAAATAAATGAAAAAATAAATAAATCTTAAAGGGATAATCCATCCAAACATGAAAGTTCTGTCATCATTCACTCACACTCAAGTTGAGTCAAACCTGTATGACTTTTCTGCTGAACACGGAATATATTTTAAAAGAATGCTGGGAATCAAAGAACATCAGAACCACCATCAGACTTCTATTGTATGGACAAAAAACATTAATATGCATTTCCAATATATATACATATATATTACATGGTCACAACCTCTCACAATTAAAATCAAGCAGATTAAGTATGGAATATAAGCATGGAATATGGAACATAAGTATGGGAATGCTCTGAAACCGTTCACACTATAATTTCATGGAATGCACTGAATAACTAAGTATGATCACATTGCAGAACCTGGTATGACATCATTCCTGACATGAGCGGTAGCTGTGACTGTAGTATCCACTTAGGCTAACAGAGCATCAGTCTCTCTCAATCAGCAGGTTGAGAACCATGCCCTTCCTGTCTGTCATTTCTGCCCCTGCCAGACAGAGAAGAAGGGGGTGACCAATCTCCCCTTTTGGGCATTACATCATTGCTTTCCCTGCTGCAGTGCCTCCCAATGAAAGAGACTGTGTGCCTGCCAAGTAAACAATTCTGTCTCTTCACATGCTTCTATACTGCACTGAGGAGTGTTTTAATATATCATAACTGACACATGGCATGACACAGCAACATAAAAAATGTGCAACCATCAGTTAATGTTTGGCATCTTGCAGAACAGAAGCTCTTAATATTTTCTTCACATTGAGAGCATGTTTAAAGGAATGGTTCACCCCCAAAATGAAAATTTTGTCATCATTTACTCATGTCATTCCAAACCTGTATGACTTTTGTACTTCCACAGAACAAAATTTCACCTTGTGTGTACCAAGGTTATTTTCGTAAACGAAAACGAAAACTAAGACTAAAACGATTGATGAAAAAACTATTTCGTAAACTGAAATAAAATAAAAACGTCAAAATAATTGAAAAACTAAAACTAAACTAAACTAACAACTAGGCCTGTAGCAATAATCAATATATCAACTTATTGCGCAATATATGTACATGACCTCAATAATTTTTGGTGGCACAATATATCGCCCACTATATTTACTTAAAAATTAATGTCACCATGTTTTTTTTTGCATTCCACTTGCGCCTGTGTCTTTTGCAGCTTCTCGTACATAACGCGGTGTAGTCATGAGATGCTAGTTCAAATTTAAAAAATGCTTCTACAAAAAGTTTCATCTGCAGATATGGTCTTGTTTAGGGATCTGTGCCTTTGTGCATGCGGACATCTGACTGCTATGTAGGGATTGTGTTTTTCAGCAATACAGTGCACCCTTAATTTACAGAGAAAAGAAGGTCAGGGGAAAATCTGTAGATGGAAAAATCTCCATACAAGTTCTTTGTGCATTTTTCTTTTCTACTTGTTACTTTGCACGTTTTGTTAGAAAATGTTTATTTAGTATTTATTCAGGTTTTTTAAGGTATCTAATATTTTGATACTTAATTTCCATAATCTAAATATTCTTAAAAAGTAAAAGTTTGTTGTCATTTGGAAGTGTGTAGGCCTTCTTGCATTATTATGCTGTTACATTGTGGTTATATATTCAGTGGCATAAAATGGTCTTTAAAATGACAATTGTCACACCCCTGTGGACTGTCGATTGTGGTTTCTCCCTCTGTGTCCTTATTTGGTTGTTCCTGTTCTCGTTTGTAGTTAATCACCTCATTGTGCTCACCTGTCTGCCCCTCGTTATCTGCCCGACTTAGTTCTAGCCCGTTCTGTTCTCCCTTGTCTG